TGCTTGTTCTTTGCCTGATCGGCATATTTGGTTGTTTTCTCCTCCGTCTTGTATTGTGAACGCCATGTCTTTTGATGTGATTAATGATAATTAATGTTATTCCTCTCAAAAAAAAAAAAAAAGCGCTATGCATGTGGCTAGGAGGGGGGAAACAACTTTAAGCAGCATTTAAGTGAAATTACCTAAAACCTAAAGTAAAAAAATCAGGGCAAAAATCCCCACCTAAGCATCGATTTATACAACAATGCAAGAACCGCGAACAAAACATATCGAATGGGAGCAGATTTCTGAAAAATCATTGAACAGATAAGGAAATCAATGGAAGAAAAGAAAGGGGAACTAAAAGTGTTGCCTAATTTTTATATCCCCAAATTCTTTTACTCGGCAATGACCAAGTAACCAATTAGGTTATAACTTCGTAGCACAACTCATGAGTCTTGACTACTACTACTGCTACTATATTGAACACTTCTATGTTTTACTGATGAACATTCTACCCACACTAATAAGCAATAGCTATAAAACTAAGAGTGATGCAAGCCATTATTACCACATCAATAAAGTCATTCTGTGAGTACAAAAGTCACATCCACAAACCCATTCTGCTTTTGTTTTTCAGTTACATATACTCAGACTGGACGAAAACGTTCAAGCAATTACAAGAATCGGAATAAATAAAAAACAAAAACTGACAAATCATACTTCGAGTCCATGCTTTAATTCCATAACACTCTTCATCTTGGGGGCATAGAGTCCATAGACAAGTGCCTGGCGTTTGGCAATCTCGAGCTGCGCCTTCCCGTCGCAGAAGGCTGCAGCGACATGAGAGGAGTCTGTGAGGCCTTTGTTCTGTCGGAAGGCATCGATGGTCCGGCGTTTGGTGTATTCTCTTATATTGTAGTCTGAGAAGTCACGAGCCGTCTTCAGCAGTGACCGGAACAAAGAGAGAACTTGAACCCTTGATGGAGATACCATTCCCGTGCTCTTTGTACAGAAAAGAGGGTGAAAGTGGCCGCTGTGTTACAAATTGTTCTTATTCTTGTTCTGTTTCCTCTACGGATCCCCTACCCCTTTACAATTTATAATGCCTTATTCGCCGATTTGCAGACTTTGGATGTCCTTAATCTTACCTTTTTTTCAAGAAATAACGTTGTAATCATCATTAATGATATGAAAATCTAGAGAATATAAAATATAAGAAGCAAATAAATTGTAGGCATGCATCACAGACTGCTTAATACCTAAAACACTAACGTTGCCTCATTATAAACATTGAAAATAGGTAGCTTTGGTACCAAAATATATTAGAAAGGCTTTGGGAAACCGTAAGTAAGTTGTCCAGTTGTATTGACATATTGACTTATTGTATGTAAATTGTACAACTACAGTACATACATGTAACATAATCATTCTTTCAAGATTTCAATAATGATTGTGCAACTATATTACATACTTATTACAGAATCGCTCATTCAAGATTTCAATAATGAAAACAAATTAGTTCTCCCATCTCTTATTATGAACCTCTTCAATAGCCCACATCTTTTCTACTACATCAGAGCAACTGATTATGTTTTTATTCAATATTATCATTTTTAATTTGTTCTCACAAACTAAAAGGCAAGAAAAATATCATTTCAAGCTACATGTGTCATGACAGAGCAGTGCACAAACATATAGCTGTGATGGACAAAACTCAGACTAGTTTACTACACAAACATCGCCAAATCGTTTCACAATTGGCTCAAATTATGGATTTCATGAAGAAAAACTACAACAAATCCTCCACAACAACAAATATTTCAGCATGAACATGCCAGAAAACAAAATGAGTCCATTGCGTATATTACTAAAATTGAACTTTCATACATTATGGTACAAATTCAAGGAATGGGGTAAAAGAATGTACTCCCTCTGTCCCAATTTGAAGGTACCATTTCTTTTGGGCACAAAGGTTAAGGAGGGGTATGGAAAACCCAAAAATGTCATTTTGTTCCCATTTCATTTCGTAGCTCTTATTCTCTACCAGATGGTCGAGACTGCCACGTCTCCCCTGCCTCTTTCTTTTCCATTTCCCTTTGTCCCTGTTCTTCTCTACTAGGACTCCCCTACCTCTATCTCCACATCATTCTTAAATCAAGAAATGGAAAATCAATTATATCCACCGAATCCGACAGGCTGTCCTCTAGAGACTAAACAACACAAACAAAAGAGGGGAGATGGAATCAGCCGATCAGATTACAACAAGATTACAAAGTTTCATCTATTGAGACTTCTAAATCTCTATATCAAATAGATTCGACTTCTTTGCTGGTGTTTCCGTTCCATGCCCTTCTCGTCCCATACTTATCGGTTGGTAACTTGGTGCATCCACCGCATCGGACAAAAGAGAAAAAAATCGAGGGAAAAGGCGAGAGTTTTTGCTTCCACAGACGACGCTGCATCCCTAGCATCTTGAAAATATTCCGAGGAGCAAGGAGAAATGAACGGGAGACCAATGATTTAGAGGAGGCCGGGGGAGATACGAACTTACAGTGGTGTAAGGGTGCGGGAAATTTGGGTTGAATGAGGAGAAGAATAGGATGGTAAAGTGGTAGATTAAAGATAGTAAGCAGGTTAAAATTGAAATTGCACATCAAATTTTTTTGCTAAAAAGGAAATGGGACTATCATTTTGGGACACCCCTAAAAGGAAATAAGGTACCATCAAATTGGGACAGATGAAGTATTAAATAATTTACTGTGTATGATTTATTTTGATCAATGGATTAATTGTGTATCATTACATATGACTGGAAAGATTAAAGCATGGATGTTTAGTTACTTCATGATTGTGCATAAAAATGTCGATTCAAATTATTTCTAGCTCGATTCAAAAGACAAAAGCATGGAAAGACAAAGAATGTATGCTCGATTTAAGGATAATTTAGACCATATTGTTTTGAAAGATTTTAAAAAAAATGACTCAAATTAAGACTGTGGGGGACTATGTGGATAGGTTTGAACATCTTACAGGCTTAATGATTCAATGAAATGGATAGTTGAATGATGGTTTCTTCTTAGACAGTTTCATTGGGGAATAAATCCTAAAACTAAACCATTCATTGAAGCCTTTAAACCTACTTCCTTTCATGGTGCCAATGAATTTGCAAGACTCCAAGAGGATTCCACTTCTGCTGCACACAAGCTCATATTCATTTTCAATACTTCAAAACCAGATATTCCAATACCTTTGTTGGGAAATGAAAACTCTCCTGATTTTTCAACTCCAAAATTTGTGAACTTAAAATGGACTATTCCAAAAATAGGCCAAAGAACTTATATTCCGGCTAGTGTAAGAGAACAGAAAATGGCTAAAGTTTTTTACTGCTACTACTACTGTGATTAGCCTTAGACAGGAATCATGTGTGGAGGTTAAGGGGACAAAAGAAGAACATGACATCATAGAAGTAGTACAAGATGATTTGTGGGAATCCAAGGGATATTTGATATGGATTCTAAATGTCTATAGTAGTAATATTTTAATATTACAAGGCAAATAGGCAGCACAAAAGTATAGAACAAACTAATTTCACTAATTCCAATTCAAAGAATCAAAGAACAAGTAGGTAACAAGTAGTATAACAACAAGGAAAATAGGCAACACAGAAGTAAAGAACAAACTAATTTCACTAATTCCAATTCAAAGAATCAAAGAAATCAGAAAATCATAGTGCTTACGGCCCAGGGCAGGTGGACTGCCGAACTGGTAGGGCGTCGTGCGGCGGTGCGGCGGTGTGGACGGACGGTAGTCACGGTGCTCTCGTGGTCCTGGAGACTGGAGGCGGGGGCGTCGCTGCTTGGTGGCAGGCTGCGGTCGTGGGCGCTCAGCTTTCTCTTCTTCCGGTTCTCGCCTTGGCCTCTTCGGTATTCAGCATTCCAACTTCGTTAGTGGCTGGGACAGGACTTAACCAAAGAAGAGGAGAGCAGAACTGGACCGAACCATTATGACCCGGTTTGATTCGGTTCTAACATTTATTAGTTACTATGTACTACCTCCGTCCCATTTATATTGGGACGGAAGAGGGTGGCACGGTTATTAAGAAAAGTGAGTTTGTGTGGTTGATATTAATTCATAAAGTAAAAATAAAGTAAGAATGATTTAGTGCCATACAAACTTTGACAAATATGGTATGAGACAATATAAGTGGGGCTTCCCGAAAAGGTAAAACGAGACAATATAAATGGGATGGAGGGAGTATTTGTTAACGGTTCGGTTCCTATTTTTTATTACCGGTTCGGTTCTCGGTTCCTGAAGAAAATATGTACCGGGAACCGTTAGGAACCGTTAAATATAATAATTAAAATTATATATATTTCTTATGAGTTTTAATGTATATTTACTTATTTATTTTTATATAACATTCATTATTTTAGTTTAGTTTTTTAACTATTATTCACTTCAACCGGTTCTCCTAGACTTCTTAGGCCTCTCATTCGGTCCAAACTCCAACGGGTCGGAACTCGGAAGGTCCAAACTATTTAAAATTATTATTCTCTTTAACCGGTTCAACATATTTGTATTGTAATTTCAAACGTTGAATGTCTTTTTGGCAAATTTAGCCGTGATTTGTAAGAATTTTTTTAAATACCATGAACCGGTAAATGACAAGAACCGAACCGTTAAGAACGGGTCGGTTCCTTATCGGTTCTATAAAATAATCTATAATAACCGAATCGTTAGTAAAATTTCATATTTTCAAACGATTCCACATATTTTGTCTAGGAAACCGAACCGGTCCCCGACCTAAGTGGCTCTATTTTTCCTTCGCAATTCAAAGCAAAAGCCTGGGCTGAGTAATACCACTACTAATTTTTTTGGGCCTGTGAAAATGGGCTGCACCTTTCTGGGCCGGCCCCAACTCTAATCTCAAAATACAAGGCGCGGAAACCTTGAGTTTTTTTATATCATCAAATCCAACTCTTATATCAAACCATTAGGAAGCGGATTGTTACAACAGACTCAAACAGACCAATCCTGACAAAAACTATCATCAACCAACTATCGCAATCAACCCTATGGCTAGACTCTGAGACGATCACCCATGAAAGAGCAATGCAGATCGCTAACCACCAAGCGGGTGTGAAACAGCAATCACTGGCCATATAGATCCTTCTAATGACATAATAACTAGCAGAATTGACAATCATTATCAAAGACTCAAAATTAAAAACTTCAACAAGAAACAAAACACCGTGAACAAACATGACACGAAAATAAGACCAACAAAAATAGAATAACTGACAAATACTCCAAACTTCTTGAACTTTCATCTTCCAAACCTCGACATTTAGATCAATCCAAGGCGGCGGTTTAGGCGGGGGACGTGCCGCCGATCTGTATTCTTCCTTACTCGTCCCTTCGTCGCACCCTGTCTGTTCATTGCCTGTGCCGAGGGCCGGAACCATACACTGAAGCATTGATTGGACTGAAGCTGGGTTTCCCAATCCTCTGCAATTCCACAAAATAATACTCATGGTCGCCTATTCCTACTGCCAGCAATCTCAAGCAGCGAAATCCTTGTTCAAATCAACCCGACGACTCAATACAGCCGACAAAGCTCCCACAATCCCGAGACCTGACCAAAAAAAGCCAATCCAACGAAAGCACCGACGATCTACGTTGATGGAACAGCAAACGCAGACGCAGAAACGCAAGCTCGATGCTAAACTCTGACGTTTAACACCGGAAAACACCCCTAGGAAACGCTAGGCGGCGGAGAGTCTAACTCCTTGATTTAATGGGATTGCTTTTTTTAAGCTCTTGCAAACACTCCCTTGACCTTTTCCTTTGGAACCCTCAGTTAAAAATTACTCCGGTAATATTTTACAATTAAAAACAAATAATCATTACAATGGAGTCGTCAGAGAGCAAAATTCTGCGTAGCCCAAAACTTTGCATCTGCAATGAGAGTGTATTGTCGACGAGCTTCTCAACCTTCTTTGCAAGACTAGATTGCGTCTACGAGTGACGGAGTCTGCGATTTTGGAGGCTGAAGAGTATGTTCACGAGTGCGGTTCCCATCCGCCTCAGAGTTTTATCATTTAAAATTATTCTGAAATTCAAAAATCAAATGAATAAATAAAAACTATAAGTAATTGATGTTGTCTTCGTTAATTCATCATGGCACGCCATCCAAATTGATTACTAGTCTTTCAAAACCTTGATCTTATTCTTAATATATGCACATTTAAAATTGTAAATGAACACTAGTAAACATTAGACATAGTGAGTCATTGAAGTCTGTGTTAATTGTCAACTAGTAAACTTACGGTATAATTCCTATTGCACTTAACAAATAACTCACAAATAACTTTTTATTATAGGAAATCTCAAGTAACTTTCTATAAGAGATTTCAACAACAAAAAAAAAACATTTTCTCATGTAGCTCATGAAAACATCTAGAAAATTAACTTTCTTAAAGTATTTTTGAAATTAACTGCTGAGAGACCTCAAAAAAATATGAAAAACACTTTCTCAAAAAAAAATTATAAAGAGATCTAAAAGTACTTTTCAAGATCATTTCGGTAAAAACATTCTGAAAAGATATTAAAATCTATAAAGCAAGACTTTGGATAAGACACTGAGCATTGAGTCATTTACCAATATTTGAATATGAGCATGTTTGATAATCTTTATTTTCAATTTATCAGTCTTATCATTCAACTTTTTTTTATCTAATGCGTAATTTTTGATTCTGTGTGTTGAGTTATGTAACGGTCAAAGTATGATTGTAGTTATTTTCCTAGCTGCATTGGTTTACGCTGCTGTAGAGAAAGATTGTAGCTATTTTTAAATTGTATCATTAATAAAAATGTTTTAAATATAATTTTTCATAATCCAACAGATTCAGTCAATTCAACCACTTCAACCAGAATTTCATCAATTTTACCCAATCCAACTGATTTTAATTTTGCCAAACATGCTCTGAATGAACTGAATAACATTACTTGATAAAGTGTTTTACTTTTCAATTCAATAATGAACTAACAAAGGCTAGATTGATATTTATTGATTCATTTAAATTTATAGAGTTTACAAGTGAATGTTATTTGCTACAAAAACATCACGAACTAACAAATATAGATATCATATAAATTGTCTTAGTTATCTTGTTGAAAGAAAAATGTTTAATCAATGTCAATTATATGTCTCATCTTTTATGTTGCGCGTGCGATATTTTGATATCCAATGTTATTTTCTCTAATGTAAACCATAATGGGACTTACATGTAACGAAAATCATGTTCATGTTATCTTGTGAGAGTTACAAATATTTTAGCGACATCATACTCATAATAATTGACAAAGAAATAGTATAAACTCTAATAAAACGCCCTACAACTCTTTCAAGTTGTAGGCATCCCACGTTTCCATACATTGGCTTTGAAACTTAGCCCACAATTTGTTAAACTAACGTCTAGAACAGTTGAACAATGTAGCTGTTTGTCCCACAATGCCCCTTTGTAGTTTCTCGTTGTTGAAATGTGTTATAAGTGTTTCTACCATACTGCTTTTCTGTGTATTACTTAGCTTAGGTCATTTCCTTCTTTCAACTTGATAGCCTTCGTTTATTTGCCTCGCGGGTACATCAAGAGTGGCAACCAAAGTGCCATTTGAGAAAGGTGTAGCATACTGATTCTATAGAGAGAGCCAAAGAAAGATTCATGTGGTAGTAAATGTTAGAGTCGAGATTGTTGTAGGCATTTGTGCGTAAATTAAAATTGTGAGTGAAACTTTGAATTTTTGTGCGTGTATGTACTAGAGATTTTGTTGTTGTACACATTGGTGTGGCCAAGCAATGCAGAACCATAAGTCATTCCACTTTGGTCATTTTTTACCCATTCTTGAATGACCCTATTTTTGTTTCACTTTTAGGTAGTTTAGGAAAGTAACAATACTTCTACAGTTTTACTAGCTAAAATGTCCACCCCAAAGTCCCATGCTCCCCATCCTACAAATGCATTTGGGATGTTGCAAGGATGTTTTTACTTGGACTATATTTCGTCCAAAATCAAACCAGATCAGATCGGAACAGACAAAACATTATCAGACCAGACCAAAATTAGGTTCTAAGTAAAAACATCCGAGTCCTATTGATATCTCATTGTCTTGTATGTAGAGAGGTACAATCCATGAGCCTTACCATTCACTGGATCCCAGCAGGTTTCGATCCTTTGGTAAACTTTCCACCCTAACCAATTAAGCTAACTGCGGGTGTGAGAGCCAAACCTGGAACTTACGGACGGTGGAGTATTTCACTAGCCAAGTGTTGCAGAGCCATTACCCGAAGGCCGGAAGCACTCCAGGCTCCCTCCTTCAGCTTTTTCAATCCGCGGCGACCTTCCAGAACTCCAAGCAGTCTCTCTCTTGGCCCAACAAAAGATTTTCTTCAGATACTATTTTTAAAAATATATATTGTTTCGGAGGTATTTAGGGTGCAAATATGGAGCAGAGATTGGCGAATGCGTGGCGCATGACTTTGAACGAGAAGAGGTTCATTGAAACTGCATTGCTTTCTGACCTCAGAGTCGATGGCCGGCTCCCTTTCGATTACAGGAAACTAACTGTCAAGCTTGGTAGGTAAGAGTGTTCTTTCTTTCTGCAATTTCGATTTGGATATTTTTTCGGTATGTATATATAATTTATATATGTTACAGTCGTCTGTTAGCTCGTGGTTTACTGTACTTTGCTTGTATTGCTTAATGGCGCCGCTTAAATGTATTAGGAACGTGCTATTGATTTGCCAACACCAAATTTACCAAACTTAAACTGAGTAGTGCTGTAGTGGGTTCTGAAAGACTGCTACATGATGTTGATCGCCACTTTTCAGTTTATACACATAAACGTTTCTAGTTCCAAGTGTATGATTTCAGAAATACAAGTATAGCCATATGCCCATATCTCATCTCTTTTGCATCTAGTAAGTCATCACCTGAGCCCGAGTTTTTAAAGGAAATGAAAAGTTTTTAGTACTCAGCAGGGAGATGAATGTAATTTTCGTGGCACCTCAACGACGTGTGTTCCCGTGCTACAGTCTGGTTTTTTACTACCAACTTCTCAACTTAGCAAGGAGTGGTGAAGAGGTGGGTCCAAACTGATTTTACATTTGTGTAGGCATCAGTAGGAGATAAGAGTTAGTGAAAGTACTGTGTAGGTATTGGATTGAAAAATAAAATCAGAAATGTACGGTGTAGGTAGTGAAGGTGTGAAAATTTTAGCCACTGTGTGTCAACTAGTTGAGTTTTTTTTTGCTTTTAGCCTATAGCATAATAGCAATCTATGTTAGGGTTGTATGACAATGTTAGGTCGAGCACATTGTCAAGAGAGATCTACTAGTTTGGATAAGTTGGTATATATTTTCAGAATGGCTATAAATTTAAACTACATGAGAAGTTACAAGAATGTAAACTCTCAGGGATTTGAAGAAAATGGTTCGGAGATGAAACTTTGATTGTATCACTGTATTAGTTTATTTATGTGATTAGTATGCATTTGATGTCATCTCCTCCCCTTTTTTACAATTAAAATGAAATCTTGTAGTTTATGACTAAGAAGATATATAGTGCTCCATGTGACTTGTATATTAGACTATTAGTCTCTGGATACTTCAGTATATATTATAAATCTAATTTGCTTTTTATGTGCTTCATACTTTCTCAATATATGAGATCTATGTTTCTTCTATTTCATGATTAAAGTTTAAGCCTTTAGATTGTTATGAATGTGCAGAGAAGATGGTTCATCAGAGGTGCTGCTGGGGAAAACTCATGTTATGGGTTTTGTGACTTCGCAACTAGGGAAGCCTTATAGAGACCGGCCTAATGAGGGGAGCCTTGCAATCTATACTGAGTTTTCTCCAATGGCTGATCCTTCATTTGAGGCAGGTCGCCCTGGAGAGTCTGCTGTTGAGTTGGGACGCATAATTGATCGTGGCCTAAGGTCTTCTTTCAAATTTTATTTCTCAGAAGTGAGATCTTAGCATTATACCTCAAGCAATCTTTGGACCACATTTTAAAGCAGTTCTATGATTACATATTTTTAGAATTATGAGACTGAATTATAGCAGGAAGAAGGTTTGTGAGAGAACAAGGTTTGGAGGTCTTTTATATGCCTAATGTTATGGTGAAATAGCTTATTTAACTCATCAGTCATATGTGTCACCAAATGCGGTTCTTGTCTCTAGTAGTGGAAGAAGCCGGCAGGGTTTATTTCAACGGTTATGGGGTTATAATTCTAATTTTCTAGCTTTCTTGGAACTTCATTCATCAGGTTTTCATTCTTGTTCGACAGTGATGAATCTTTATTGTGAAAAAGAAAACAAACTACACAACCCAGTAAGTCCAGACGTAACGTATGGAGGTTGAGATACATGCAAACATTAAGTCTACCTTTAGGAGCAGAATGGCTGTTTCTGCGAAGACCTGTGAAGACCCTTGGTTAAGGAAAAAACAGGAGTTTTGGAAGATTTTAATAACTAATAAAACTTGCAACTTCATGAAAGTTTTGAAAAAGAATGGATGTTAAACAAAAATAGAACTGACAAGACAGTCAAATCTTTGAGGACAAAATATTTATAATCCCAATTCTCGAGCATTACTTTTGTAAGTTTCTTGTCCTAGACTGTAATTTTCATTTTGGTTTAAGAATTCGGAATCTGAATTATAAATATGTTAGAAAATTAACTAGATAGGGTTTACCATTTAACAGTCAAATTGACATTTATGTCACTTTGGATACTAATTTTACCACAGAGCTAATAGTCTGGGAACCAGATATGGTGACCCACATAATTGAGGCGTCTCACAGGTTAATTCCCCAGAATTGGAGATTTACAGTACTAAAAATGTCATTTTCCCAATATTTTATGTAGGCTTAAATATTTTTTCCGTCCGAGCAGATATGGTTTATGTTTTTAGGTTTTTTATATACTAGAAGGGGAGCCTTGGCCCTTGGCGCACCAGTTATAGTGTTTTTGTGTGACCGAGAGATCACAAGTTCAAGTCATCAAAGCGGCCTCTTGTCAAAATGACAAGGGAAGGTTTTCCGTTGTACACCCTTGTGGTGGGACCCTTCCCTGGACCCTCACCTTGCGGGAACGCAAATGTGCACCCGGCTGCCCCTTTAGGTTCTTATGTACTACCTGTCCACCTCCATTATTAATTGCAACATGTTGAATTTTGCACTACTCACAAACTCTACTTTGACTATATTTTATTGGTTAATGTGCTAACATAATTAAAAAATAAATAAATTGTCACATTGTAAACTTTTAAATACATTCTTTTTTATAATCTTTATTAAAATCCATTTAAATATATTTATAGTCAAATTCGTGTCTTGGCAAGCGTGAAAGTAAAAGTGTTGCGACTAAAATAGAACAGAGGAAGTATATATATTTTTTATCCAGGCTATTAATTGTTTGTTCAGCCTCCCATTGAGTCAGTTTTTATGGGAGAACTACAAATGACTATCTGACTATATATTACTGATTATTCCTAATGAAGGTTGGTGGATAGTGAGAGAGACTGAAAAGAATAAAATCCTAAATTTCATTGATGAAAAAAGAATTTGACAGGTGCCTAAAATAAAAACACTATATTTTGTAGGGAAAAAACATATTTAAGCCTTTTTTTTACTCAAAATCGGGTACAATAAACTGTTGAACATATTTCTTGTTGTTTGAGTATTAACCGAGAACTTTAGGGTTTTCAAAAATTTAAACTTAAAGAGGAATTCATATTTGTTAAGAATTGAAAAGGTGAAGCATACTGTAACTGTAATTGTAGGGAAAGTAGAGCTGTGGACACTGAATCTCTCTGTGTTGTAGCAGGGAAGTGGGTGTGGTCTATCCGTATTGATCTCCAAATTTTAGACAATGGAGGGTGAGTTATTATGTCTACATCATATATCACCTTACAAGTCATTAGCAATAAGAAATATGATGCTCTGACTTGACATCTTGGGAACTGACCATTATTTTTCCGTCTCCGTGAGACTAGGAACCTTATTGATGCTGCCAACATCGCAGCCTTAGCTTCCCTCTCAACATTCCGGAGGCCTGATTGCACCGTTGAAGGAGAAGATGGGCAGGAAATTACTTTGCACCCACCTGAGGTCTGCTGGCTTGCTATGCATCTTGATTCTCTCAAGCAAATTGTTTTGATATTTATTTTGGCTGAAGTTGTGACTTCAATTTAATCACAGTTCAAAGTAAAAGATATGTACAACTTATTTTGTAATGCTTTTTGTCCCGTTCAGTTTTCTTTCCAAAGTATGAAGCATAAAACATGTCTGGTAGTTCTGGTTTAGATGTTTAATAATTTATACAATTAGTTTATGATTTTATGGAAGTTTTAAATATTTATAAACCGTGCCAGGCTGTCAGCATTAGAAACACGTTCTTTAAAATAATAAATTCAAGTAAATGTGTTTCTAGTCACAACCATAACAACAACTTCCAAGCTTTATTACCAAAAGAGTCTGGGGTCATCTAACATGAATCAACATGTGATATCGATGTTAAAAACATTAGATACAGAAAGAGGGAGAAGTGATATAAGATGAATCAAGGAAATATGTTGTGGGTCTTAACTCTTGAATTAAGTGTGTTGCATTTTGACAGGTCAGGGAACCACTTCCACTGATCATTCATCATATGCCTATAGCAGTGACCTTTGGATTTATTGGAAACGAGAACATAGTGGTAAGCAAAGTATAAAGGCCTTCACATATTTGCATAATGGAGTGCCTTTTACAGAGACATATTGACCCAATCTCTTTATACTTACAATTGTATGTTTTTCATGCTTAGGTTGTAGATCCAACTCACTTTGAAGAGGCTGTAATGGGAGGAAGAATGACAGCAACTGTTAATGCAAATGGTGATGTCTGTGCCATTCAGAAGGCGGGAGGAGATGGTGTCATGCAGAGTGTTATAATGCAGTGTCTTCGCATTGCTTCAATGAAGGCTGGTGATATAACAAGCAAGATAAAGAATTCTGTGAGTGCTAAACTGCTAATTGTGACATTATATGTTTTGCTTCCATTATGTTACTATTTAGTGCTTGATTACTGGAGAGTTGTTCTAATAGACTTTTAAGTATCAAGGAAAACTTATATCCCATTCCTCCCAAAATGAGAATCATGTTTGGGCTTGGTACGATTTTTTTG